CCCCCGCCGCGCGGGCCCCCACCTCCGGCTGGGGAAGGGCTGTCCGCCTGGGGCAGCTGCGCGCCCCGGAGAGCCCCGAGAGGGGCGCTGTGACCCCGGCCCCGCGCCCTCCCCGAAGAGAGGCGGGGTCAGGGAGGAAGGGAGGCTCGGAGGCTGAACCCGGGGCCCGCCGCCGGACTGCCGGCCCTCCGACACCATCCAGGACTCCGGCCGGGCAGCCGCCTGGGAAAAGAGGAGAGTTGGGGGCTTGGAAGAGATGGGGCGCTAGAGGCGCCAGGGAGGAGATGGGCGCCCACGCTGCCCGCCAAGGCTGCCTTCGGAGGTGGGCAAACCAGGGACCTCGGATGGCGCAGAGCCCATGGCCTGCAACTTGCAGGCCTCTTGGCCCCTTGAACCTTGGGAGTTTTCTTTTAACTGGAAGGGCCTGGAGATGGTAACATAGAACATACGCCCACAAACTGAGGGTCAGGCAGGGAGGGCCTCCAACAGCGGCGGCGAGGCTGCCTCGGTTCTCCTAAGAAGCGGCAAGGAAAAATAAGGCGGCAAGCGAAAAAGAGGCCTTAGGGAATTTTTTTTTTTTTAATAAACGGTGCAGTATACCAGACTGGAAGAGTGAGGTATGAAGAATGTCTGGTGCGTTCTGCACGTGGATTGGGGGTTCTTTACTTTTCCACCAGTGAGCCAGCTCTCTTCCGCTGCAGCTCTCAAGTTCATTCCTTCTGCATTCCTGCTGTCTTCACTCCTGTCTCCCCCTTATCACCTTACCCTGGACTCCTGGAAAAGCGGGTCCTCCCAGAGAGCCCCCTCCCTGCTGCCAGAGTAATGGCCTAAAGCACTGCAGTCATATCCTCCATGCGTGTGCCTCTGCCACACGCCGGTGCTTGGTATTCTTGTCTGTCCAAACTTTTCTGCTGATGCTTGACATAAGCCCCTCTGCCCCTTCCTGCATTCCCCAGCAGCACACTGGTTATTGCATCATACAAACACAAAGACCTTGTTTATTCAATTCCTAGTCTGCCCTCCACACTTGCAGGGCTTCCCTGCCCCCATCCTGAAACTATACTCTGCTTTTATACAAAGTCTAGACATTGTGCATGCACGTTAGAGTCACAGTGAGTAACATGCAGGTTGAGCCTGGCACCCCAGGGCATAGGCTGTGTGACCTTGGTCAAATGACTTAACCTCTCAGAACTTCAGTTTCCCTTTCTTAAAATATGGATTAGCAGATCTGTGTACAGGTAAACAGATTGTGTCCTAGTGGTAATTAAAACTGTTCACCAAACATCTTCTGGTTCTTTCCCTCCCCCAGGATGCAGTAGGAATCCACTACCCCGCCCTCTTGAAATTAGATGAGGGCATATGACTTGCATAGGCCAGTGGAATGAGAGCAAAAGTGATATGCATTGCTATCAGGTGGAAAGTTTTAAGAGCTCATGGACAAATCCCCATGTCTCGATGATTCTGAAAGTACAGTCTTGGCAATCCTATCTTGACACCCATGGAAGTACAGAGATAGAGCCTCCCAGCCAGCCTGGGTCTCCAAAGATGGCAGAGCAGTCCCAGCTAACCTGCAATGGAAAAGTGGTTTGAACAAATATTAAACCTGTGTTGTGTTAAACCAGTGAGATTTGGGGGGTTGTTTGTTACAGCAGCATAACCTAACTTCCTCTGGCTGATAGTGTTGCTCCCATGGCCCTGGGACTTAATCAGTATTTGTTGAATGAGTAGCACCTACCAGATGCTGGTACCTTTTTATGACAGTGAACTCTCCTCTGTAAAGTGGTTGTTATAATCCCTATTTTCAATAGAAGAAACCATATCAGAAAGGTTGAGTAATTTGCCTGAGATTACACAGGTTGTTAATAGCGGCGTCGGGATTTAAACCCTACCTGTCCAGTTCCAAAGCTGGTGCCCTTCCTCTTACCCATGTGCTGTGCTACCTCTCCTTAAATGGGAAGGATGGAAACACCCAGTCTTTGCCTGGCACACAGTCACGCCCCAGCCCCGGGAGTTCCTCTCCAGACCGAATTCCTATAGCATTTATAATCTGAACCGCACTTCAGCACAATGTTATCATGCATTGTGTTCGAGTGTTTTCACGTAGACAAAGCATTTCCTCCAACAAGATCCCACGCTCCTTGATTTAGAGCTTGAGTTCTGGAGTCAGACACCCTGGGTTCAAATCGCTGTTCCACACTAGCAATTGACCATCTTGGACAATTCTTTTCCCTCTCTATGCTTGGGTTCTCTCAGCTGCACAATGGCGATGGTCATAACATAGGTGGTGTCGGTGGTGGTAATAATATGTCCCATGAGGTTGGTGTGAAGATTAAGGGATATAATATATACACTCAATAAATCATGGCTATAAATATTGTACTTACTTTTCATCTTCCACAGCTCCCCCTAGAATTCAGGCAATTACAAGCAGTTTAATCACACTGCTCGATTAGACTCTGATTTCTGGCTTCCTTCTGGATACGGGACAGATGTTGTAACATCTGCAGTTGGAAGCATGACATCCACACTGTCCTACAACTTATATTTACATCAGGCTCATTACTTGTTCTTTATTACGCCTTCCATTCTCAAAGCAATTTGAAAGAAAGGAGCTATGTTGCTTCTTGAGAAATCTTTGTTCAGAAAACATAGTAATACCAGTTATCGTTGATCTACTATCTACTGTCTGCCAGGACCTTTATATGTATTATCTCTAATCATTATAACACTGCAGGGTGGATGTTATGATACCCATTCTGCTGTTAGGAACACTCAGTCTCAAAGAGGTAAGTTGCTTATGATCAGGCAGTGTGTAACTGCCTGAATAAAGATTTGAACTCAAGTCTCTGACTCTAAGACTTTGCTCTGACCCCTGTTCCAAGCTGCCTGACATCCCCGCTCACATCAGTGAATGCCCGTGCTTTGATTGGCACTAGTCTTCCATTTGTCTAGATGAGGTTTTGCAAAGTTACCTAAGGTTGTGACATTTCTAACTAAAGTATGTTGTCTGGTAGACAGCTTACATTAAAGAGCGACCCAAGAAAGTGCTTATTCTTCAGTGTGGCAGAAGAGTGCTAGCTGCCCACTGAAAATTCGTGCTTCTCCTTCCATGGGGGAGCTGACGGACAGCTGCTCAGCTGGGGATATATTTCCCAGCCTCCCTTGCAGGCAAGCATGGCCATGTGACTTGTTCTCTCTAATGGAATATGAGCAAAAGTAACGTTCATTACTTCCAGGCCAGTAATTAAAAAATGGGTGTGCCTTCTCCACTTTGCCTAGCTGGAGGCAGAGGACTCCAAAGCCCCAGAGTACCGTGGAGTCCCGAGATAAAAGAAGCCTCTGACTCTGCATCACCTTGAGGAATAAAGCCACCCCCTAGCCTGACATTGGGCTGGTACATGAGTGAGAAATAAACTTCTATTGTGTTAAGCCCCTGAAATCGGAGGGTTTGTTACAGCAGCTGAAACTGCTCTAACTAATACATGCAGCTTACACTAAGTTTGTACTTACATATAAAAAGCAAAAGGGAAGATTATAACAACCATCTGAATAGTTTGAACCAAAAATGCCACTTTTATATTCTCTGTCTACTAAACTTAAGGGGAAAGCAGATTATTTGGGGCCAGAGTTTTCCTTTAATTTTTCCTGGGTTACGTGTATCGGAGATCAAATAAGAGGAGTATTCAATAGTTGTAAAACGGTAAGAAACAAATTTACTCTTTCAACAATATTTCTTATTTTCCTACTACATACCAGGCATCCAGGGCTGAGGATGTGCTGGAAAAGACAGGCGTGGTCTCATCTTGATGAAGATGAGTCTGTGGGTAATAAACACAATTTATAGCATTCAGCTGACCTCCGGCCACCAAACTTCTTGGGAGAACCCAGGCTATTTGAATGTGGACTAGACAACTAAAATAAAAACTAATATTTACTCACAAATCAAAACAGAGAGCTATGTTTCTCCCCCTGCTAAGTGACTAGAGAAACAGTTAGAATGGTGGTTAAGAGCATAGACTCCAGAATCAAAACCAGCTGAGTTCAAATCCTGCCTCTACCACTGTCAAGCTGTGGGATCTTGGGCAGCTTCCTCTGTGTTTCTCAGCTTCTTCATCTTTAAAATGGGGACATTAATCATACCGAGCTCAAAGGATTGTTGTTGAGGATTAGATTGAGTTAATGCAAAAAAAAAAAAAATCCCTAAGAAGTGCATAAGATGCATCGTAGCACCCAATAAGTATGGGCTGTTAATGTTATTTGCCACCTTCCCTCTGGTGTTAGCTTTTATGTATAAAAGGATACAAGGGAAGACCTTTTCATGGAGGTTGATAGA